TTCACTATAGTCATATACTTTAGATATAAAACACAACTTGCCACAGCTCCACAGCATGACTTTCCATCCATTAGAGTGAAATACCTTAGTAAGGGCATGTTACTTACCTCCAAGAACAGGTGGATGGAGAAAGCCTTTGGCTTGTGCTCGCAGTCAGTTTACTCCCTTTTTCTCTTTTCAGTGCTTTACACAGGCTTCAGCATTTAATTTGAGTAGTTAAGTTCTGTATTCTCAGTAGGCTCAGTCACTTATCTTTGAGTATTGTACATTTGTGTGTATGTGGTTAATAATAAGGTTCTAAAATCCACAGGTGCTTGTCCCACAAAAAGGCTGAAGTAACTTTTGATCAATGTATTTTGTCAACAGTGACATAATCCAGCATTTTTTAAAACAAGGAATTCTGGAATATTATCATGGTGGCAACTTTTTTTAAAAATCTTTCATTGCTATGATTGCCATATAAACAGTAGACATATGACATTCATATTAGAAAGTAATCCACTGGTAATATGGGCTTTCATGAACTGGATTGGCTAACAGAGTGTCCTGCCAAATGACATAACTTCTTATACAGCAGAAGTTGAGCCTGGCTCAGCTTTTTGTGCCAGATAACCCTGTACCGGTGCTGCCACTGCACTCACAGATCGGCCTCATTCAAATGAATGAGAGGGCTGGGTTTTTCATGCTGAACATGATCGAACTGGGCCATAAGAGGAACCAAGCAAGACAAGTTGGAATTTATGGTATTAATACCATATTACCTTCTCCAGCCTTGAGCACTAAATTTTGCACTTTTTAACATAGAGATACAAAGTGCTTTACATTCAGAAAAACAGACATGACTGTTCATGTACTGAATACAAATAAGAGATTAGACAATAAAATGACTTGCTGACTAGCATGGCTCTAGGTGACTTCTGCTGGGAAGGGACGGCCCATTGTGTGTATAGCTCCTGTTCAGTAGCTCCATCTGTGAGTCAGCGGCTGCAACAATGCTTCCTCGGACTCTTCTCTGACTGATTCTGATTATGTTAGAGGTTCAGTCCTATCTGTGCACTCTTACTGCAGCTTCTGCAGAACAGAGATTTGCCATTCTACTGTCACAGTGTGTGTCACTGACATCATATTGTCATTAGGTCTCAAGGGATTTCAGGAAGAGATTGTTTCCTCTTCTGAAGTGTTTCCTATAAAGACCCAATAGAGGTATCCAGTGGTGCGTTTCTCTGTGACTCATGTGATAACTCGCCTGTGTTTCATGTGGCCCTTTTAGAGGAATCATATCAGCCCACTGGAAAGTCTGCTCTCAGTGTATCGTCAGTTATTGTCAGATAATCCATTCAGACAAACCCAATCCTGTATATCTAATGATATTAACTGATCATATGCCTCACATCCTTGATTATTGGCCCTGAGCCTTTCTACCCTCCACCTAACTGGGCAGAGAAGGAGATAAAAATCATTGTTGCAACCTCCTCTGTGTGTTGGTGTGTTTTGAGGCACCCACAGCACTTGTTTGTTGTACAAGTGGTGTTGGCAATCTTCTGTCTAAACAAAAGGTTGCCCTTTGGCTGTGTAGTGGCATATAACAGGCCTATATGTTGGCAGGCAGCAGACTGTGGCATCAGCAGCCCAGTTCAGTGGAACAAGTGATGATTTGCCTCTTGTGTGCCATTGTTGACACCATTCCTTTTCACTGGCTTGTTCTGGCAGATTGAGTGTGGGTCTTACTTAATGTCTATGATCACATTTTGGCAGGAGTTCTGCAAATAAAATGAGCAGTTTGCTGTGGACTGGCCATCATGTCACGTGTTGGCCTTATTCATGTCTATGCACAGTGTTAACAGAGACCTGTGCATGGCATGATTAGCAAAAGTCTTACAGATCTGCAGGTATTTTCTCTATAGTAATAGAGTGTAGTAATAGCAATGAGTGAGGACTAGCTTTGATGCTGCCCTTTTATTAGGTACATTAAGTCTCAATAAGATGTAATGGCTTATCCTGATTGGATGTACATACAAATTTTAAAATGCACCAATATAAAATAGATGGATGAATAAACCTGTAAAGCTTTTAGAGCATTTGATGACTTGTAATCACCTGTTATCATTAAGGTTATACAGTTATGAGTAACTATACATTTTTAACCCAGCAACACTGGCATGTACAGTGTCTTTAGGTTGCACTATGAAATAAGCATGCTTATAAAATATAACTCACTTAAAATAGCTCTCTTGAATCACAAACATGCAAAAGGTCCAACAAAAATGAAATACAGGAACCAAAGGATAAAATGAAATGAAATGAATTAAAAATAGAAAGATGTTAGACAGTTAAGTACAGCAGTGTATCTGTTGCACTTGTCCTTTGCTAAAACACTTTAGCTTTGACTGCTGCAAAAAGGTTTTGATTGAGAAATGTCAGATGAACACTGGCAGCAGAAAACTTCACGCTCTGGGCCTTTTTATATACGCTTAGCTTTTAAAAAGCTAAAACAAGTGAGGAGAATTACAGTCGGCACTCGGGATTTCTGTAAGTGAGACAAACGGATGCCTTGAGACAGTTTAACTTTATTTCCGCTTGTTGAAACTGATACGGCATTAAGAAAATGCCAGCCTGCGGGTGAGTGTCAGCAGAGTGGAGGAAGGGGAGAAGACTCCCACGGCCTGTACTGTGAAGAGAGCAGTTCCCCATCCCTGACAGAGGATTAGCCCTCTACCCCCAAACATGGGAAAGCTGCTTATGAGAAGACTCCCCCATCCTCACAGAGTCCCCTTGTACACCATCACTTAGTCCAAGTTTTAAACATTTCTAGTGTGAAGCCAAGATGCCCAAAAACAGTTTCATTAATGCTTTTCTGTGGATTTGATAGGTTTCTGGCATTGCTACTACTTCAGATAAAGTTGTACTTCCTACTCCAAACTAGTTTAAGATGGATGTGATGTATTTTTGATGTGATTTTTGTTTACCCTTTTTTTGTCTTTCCTAGAGGGAAAGACTTACACAAAGTGACAGGTTACGAGTTGGAACTTTAACTGCATGCCCACCTGTAATGCATACTGGATGGCATTTTCATGACATCTAATCTTAACAGCATTCAGAGGAGCCCCAGTAATGTGCTTTTAGTTTTACAAACTTATAGAGAGAGAGGAGCCTCATGGCCTTACGCAAATTCATCTGAAAGCCTTTTTATTCTCCAGCTAAGATAAAGTTATATTCAGTCACCTGTTCATACAGAAAGAGTCTTGATATAAATTGCTAGTTGCCTTACTTTTCTCAGGTGGAATTGTGAATGTGATATGTATACTATACGTTACCAGTGAGGAGTTTCACAACTTGCCACCCACAGATTTGATTATGATAAGCTTTTATTAGCATGTGACATTAAAAAAAGGCTCTATTTCAGTTTCTATTGAATTCTCAGGAATAAAAAAATAATGCTGTTGCAAACAGAGTGCTTAGAATTGGTGGAGCACATAATCGCTCTATGGAAAGCTGTGCTTGAAAGCAATTTTCCCAACCTGACATTGAATCCTCAATTAAATTCTGTCATAAAACTAGTTTGAATTGGGACTTCATCTGGCTTAATCACAAGACAGTATTTTGGTGACAGAGGGAAAAGCTCATTGGAAGTAAAGAGGTGGAACATTTTCTCAGGCACAGGTAGCAGTGATGAAGTCCTGAAAGTCTGCATGGAATTTGAGCAGCTAGTTCTTAGTCTCCTGACCTATGTGAAGGTTTGCTGAGATATGATTTTGTGTTTGACCTGTGTGTAGTTGTACACTGTACACGTTTGTGTGCTTACATGAGAGTCTACTGTAGTTTTTCTCTGTGCTGCTGCCACAGCACTGGCTTTGAACTGAGCTGTCAGAGAGCAGAGATGAAGGTGGAGATAGCGAGTCAGATTCAGTCTAGTAATTCTGTAACCTTAATGCAGGACACTCAGCCTTTTAGACACATTGTGCATTTTACTTTTACTCCTGGTCTAATCTCACAGAACATTTCTTATCTTGATTTGGGGTCAGCTTCATATCTTGAGTGAGTTGGAGTTATCACGTTGCTTCGAGAATACAATGAAAGCCTATCGGTTTTTGTGATGGACAGTCACTCGCTGCTCTTTGTCACCTCTAGTTCTATGACAGATGCTGTTTTTTAAAATGGTCATTGTGACAATTTAAGTGTCATAGGTTCAGTGTTGCATTTGAAAGGAAAGTTCTGCTACATGTGCAGAAATGATGCCATGTGAAAACCTTTTCTAAAGCAGCTCTGTACATGAGAGCAAAGACTGTTTTTATAACAGCCTGAGAAAGTCCTACTAAGTGTTTACTAAGTCACTACAATGTAGGATTTTTATATAAATATCTGACTTGACCTGAAGAGATGCCAGCTTCCTCTTGTTTATCAGGTTTACCGCAAACAAAATGGCGTGTTGGAGCAGCGCTGTGGACTCGGCCAGTTCTTTTCTCAGCACTGTAATAAAGAGCTTTATTCACTCACTTAAACATGGCTGTGTGGTTGACCCGTGATACAGGTGTGTGGTTCACCATAAATATATATTTTAGACATCCTAGCTGTTTGAGATCTGAGGCTGGCCTTTCATGAGGGTAGTCAACTGATGAGATAACTCCTCCTGACATGTTCTTGTGCATTTTGGCAGACATTTTGAGATTATTATATCTAATGCACCTACTGTATGAAATTCTTTGTATTGTAACAGTGACACTTTTTGTGTCATATATTCAGACAACCTTGTGCAGCTATTCTCCCCAAGTGCCACTGCATAAACTCTGGTTTTCCAAGTAAAAAGATCAACCTATTGAAGAGTAGTTTGCCAGAGCACTGAATAGAGCTCCTGAGTGTAGCACGCCCTTTGTGAACATCTTCCCCTCACACATTGCCTAGCGGCGCTCTATAAAACCTGTCTTAACCCTTTCATACATCTTCCCGCTTGTCATTATCTTAACTGGCCACGGCCTTCTCTTTCTATATCCATCTATCCACAGGACCCAGTTCTCTTCACAGGCACCATGAGGGAGAATCTGGACCCTTTCAGGCAGCACACAGATGAGGACCTGTGGAATGCACTCCAAGAGGTACTCCAGCGTGGCTCTGAATGATTCCCCCTCGCTGGCCCGGGGGGGGCTCCCTCTGTGCCTCTGTACAATGCTGCCATTCAGCCGCCCTGCTCGCCACAAGTCATGGGGGGGAAATCCCATTAGGGCCATGGGGCCCAGTTCAATGTGTGGCTTGTAGCTGGGAACCATTGAAAGTTCTGGGGGAGATGTGTTTGGGCAGTCAGGCCAACCAGGATGAAGGCTGCCCCCACAGCTCCTGGTCTTGCCTCTGAATGGGTTTGGTGGCCTGGATTAAAGCTAGAGGCTGGCCACAAGAGAGCACTAGGCAAGGTCATCAGTGGACCTGGCCCTGCATTGTGCCAGGCGGTTAATGGGTGTGTTTGGATGGCTCTTTAAAGACATCCCCACAGGAAGCCTTTATGCAGGAGTAATGAAGGGTTGGGGCTCTGCTCTCCCTCTCTGCAGGTGCAGATGAAGGCCGTGGTAGAGGAGCTGCCCAATAAGCTGGAGACAGTACTGACTGAATCAAGCTCAAACTTCAGCATGGTTCAGAGGCAGCTGGTGTGCCTGGCCGGGGCCATCCTCCGGAAAAACTGCATCCTCATCATTGATGAGGCTACAGCTAATGTGAACCCAAGGTCAGGGGACACTTGATTCCATAGGAAAAACATTTTACATCTGAGTTGGAATGGTCTGTTCCACATGTAGCTTGTTTACTATAAACTAGTCAACTTAAGAGGGTGTCTTTAGTTGGATATCATAGAACTGTAACACCACTACAGTATATTTCTGTAGAGTGTTTCAAACTGAAATTATTCTTAAAACAAGACACAGTTTGAGCATCTGTGAAAACCTATAACACGTCAAATTAAACCCTCATAAAAAGATGCAAAAATGTATCAACTATACTGCACATTGTTTGGTGGTAAACAGAGCAAATAAAATAATTACTTTCACTTAATGAGTGACTAATCATAATGGGCTTATTGCCAGTTTCACCTTCAGATTGATCAGAGCATACATGCATCAAGTAGCTATTATAACACCTTAAAACTAGCAGATATGCTTAGAAATGTGAAATAAAAACTGAAATAATTATAAGTCAAATAAAAGGAATATTTTTGTGTGTAAACCTATGCACAGGTCATGTGCTTGTTTTTTTATGCCTATTGCTGCCCATACCTTGCTGCTGATGAGCCATTGTTCTGTGCTGAGTAAAATCCCTGCCCAGGGGTGGGAGAGAGTTTTTTGTGTTGAGGTGTTGTGTTCCCTTCTTCTTTAGAGCTGACAGCCTCATCCAGCAGACTATCTGGGACAAGTTTCAGAATTGTACGGCCCTCACCATTGCTCTCAGCCTCAACACTATCATTGACTGTGACAGAATACTGGTGACGTAGAAATGATATAGGATATTTCCATTGTGCAGCACTTTGCTCAGTACTTTAAATGAGACTGCTCTCCTTTCATAATCAGTTATTTGGAAAGGTTTTGATGATAACAGACAAAATTCTATGTTTTTAGTCCCAATATTATGTGACTTCCACTGCGTAGAGAATTTATAATGTTATTGCATGAAGAGCCTACAGAAGCATTTTCTTTGTATTCATTTACACAGCCATACATCAAACACACCTGAGATTCAAGTCTTACAAACACCTGTTTTCTTCATTTTCAATCTTTACAAAGCCACTTCTCTCATTTTAGAACAGCTGGGCTGATTTCTTCCTCACAGCATTGCCTCTGATTGAGCTTCTCTCATGGCCCTTTCCTGCTACTGCCTGCAGAGGTGCCAATTAGAGCCATTGTGGCAGCATTTGCTAAGAGTCAGGACTTGGTGGCTGCTTGGTCACTGAGAGGGTTGCTGAGAAAAGCCAAATATCACATGGCAGGGACTGTTTCACACCTATTTCCGTGTTAAATGCCCCCAGATTGTAACACACTCCAGGAGGACTAAAATGTGACCCACTTGAATTGCCATCTCCAGTTTGTAATCTGTGCTATATTTAGCCTTGTTCAGAATGAGTTTCAAAGGTGTGAAAAAGCATAGCGCTCTCCATTCATTTCTATGGGGCACTGCCTTCACCGCAGCCAGCACCAGCCCCACAGGGGGCTCCGGCAAAATGACACAACCCCTTGCGGTGAAAAAATTGCATCTAGGGGCGGTTGGAATGTGGACGCCCACAGGATGAAGACTCTTGTTTACCTTGTTAGCATGAGCATTCATTGTTAATCACTTTCATATTTGGGCCACAGTTAATGCACCTTAACAACATGCCATGTGTTTTCATTCGATAGGGTGTTAAACTGTTTTTATCTACCAATGTCTACACTGGTAGTAGAACTGGTGCTAAGGTAGTTTAGGCTACGTTAGAAGCATGGCTAACCAAAACACAATAGAAATTCACTGGTCAGGGACATGAATGAAGCCACTCGTGTTGACTTGTCAAAATGTGGCTGTATCATACATGCTTACAGCATTTCTCCTGCAACCCCCCAGACCAACGCAACCCCTTGCACAAAAACACGGCAGAGTGTTGTGTTTTACCGCACTCAGTTTTAATGCCCGCTAAGTCACAGAATGATTTCCAAGATATAAACTTCATCTCCTGCACCTGCAGAAGTCTCTCTTTCATACTAAACACTTGCTGAAACAGGGCTTTAATAATAACAAACTGCTCATTACTGCTGCAAGGGGATCGACCTTGTTGAAATTTGTCTGTGATTTAATTGTAGTCTTTTCCGAACTGCTTGAATCGGCACTATTCTTTGTGTGGTTTACATAACATGTGATGACATAGAAATGATGGTAATTTTCTAGAGTGGCTTAAAGGTGTGATTGTTGGATTTGCCTGAGGACCACCCCTGAGCTGCTGAAATAGCAGGATAAATACATGTATATATCACTGATCTCCAGTCTGTCAGAGTCAGCGCAGTAGATTTTCACATTGCTAACAGGTTGCACTCACTGTCTGAGGCCCTGCCGAGTAGAAACTGGCACTGGTGTTTGCTCTTGCATGAGTCACATAAAATGGATGGTTCAGAGGTGCAGAGTACTACTGTTTCCCCATTCATCTTGTGCTTTTTGGATGCATCACTCAGCAATGAAACAGCTGAAATGTCAGTTTTCCCCAAAGTAAAGCACACACACCCAGCATTGTGTTTGTGATTGCAGGTTCTGGATGCCGGTAGGATCCAGGAGTATGACAAGCCATATGCACGGCTCCAGAACCACAATGGTTTTTTTTTTTTACCAGATGGTCCAATAGACAGGCAAAGCCGAGGCTACCTCACCGCTGCACACAGCCAAACAGGTAACCACACCCACCATTGTCCTAGCATGGGGCTGTCACTAAATAGAGTCCAGCAGTGGCATGCTAATCCCAGGCTCTCTCTTTAACTCCAGTCTTCACTGCTCACCTCCAAAATAACACAGTTAAGCAAGAGAAGATGTGCATAAACCTGACAATGCAAAGACACTTGATTACCGTTTTAATTTAAAGTGTCTACTTGGAGCGTCGCAACACCATAACATTCATTTCAAGAGAGAAATTGACCCTTTGTAGATTTACATCCTCTCCTTTTATTAAAGAAGCTCTCTGTATCATCCTTTTCCGCATAAAATAATTTTTAGATCATTTTAGAGATGATTGTAAAAAAGCAGCTTTCTTCGCTCTATATCTATTTTGAAATATTGGGTTTAACTTCATCGTGATTTGGGATAAACTCTCTATGGGGATTACTGTAATAGAGAATGTCCATATTTTTTCCCTGTGAAATTCATTTGTGATGTATTTCCCCTTCAGACACTCAACAGATAAGAGCCAGCTATTCATTGTTCAATTCCATTTTATGTGCATCTGTCTGGGACTACAGATACCATATTGCAACTTCAAACAGGTCTTTGTGAAATAAGAAAAAGTAGGCATCATTTCATTTTCTCTCTGTCCCTGGCACAAATTTATCAGCGGAACTGTATCTTCTCAGCCAGAGGAGTGAAATGAGTAAAATACTGATTTCAAAGACTCAGCACACCATGGTATTATTTGGTATCGTCTTACCCTGCACACTGGCGGATTGGTAGTGACATTGTTCAAGCCCTTACGTTTTCCTTTCTTTATTGTAGAGTCCTCTTTTTAGATCAGATTACTGCAGCATCCACAACTGTCTAGCACCACTTATTAAATACTGAGATGGTCCACATGTTGTGTGTCAAGTTTCTATAGTTGTCAGTCAAGGTTTAAATACATTCAATAATCTGATATCAACCTCTAGCTCTTTTGTCCATGTTGAAAGAGAATCTCAGAGTAGACTACATATAGCTGTGGCCAGTCTGTTTTATTTTCTGTTTTGCTTCATTTTCATTAACTTTGTTATTGAAATTGTTGGTCTGTCAGATCCTCTTTGTATAAAGAAGTCAAGCATATAAGCAGATATCTTTGAATACTGTCGCACAGCTCAGCTTAGAAGCCACTGTTGGAGAAAATTAACTCAAATAAAACGGATAATTTCAGTGATTATCTCTGATATTTACCTCCTATCATTTTCACTGCTGTTTATAAGGCTAAATAAGCCACTTTTGCATGCTCCAGCGGTTGACAAATCCCTTCACCCGGCTCTGACTGGATCTGTCATAAATCACACCTTAACAGATCATAGCCTAGATTGGCCTGTGTGCTTCTGTACTGCTGCTTCACCGATACGTTTGCCAGTTTATGTGAACAAAAAAGCAGGTGACAGGTGTGCGCTGTGCCAAGGACATCTGTGTCATCTCTGAGATGTCTCTGACAGTTTGGAGGGTTGCTGTGGCCTTCATGCTTGCCATCACTGACCGCATCCCTTACCAGATGTACTCAGTTTCTTCACTCTACATTAAAGTGTCTTTAGTCTCCCAGCAGACGTAGTGTGGTATGTGCTGCATTTGATTGGCATAGTCTGGAATAGAAAAGAGGCAACTGTCTGAGCCTGGCTTGCCTTTATTGACAGCACAGAACTGTAAGGCTGTTTATTGATTACACTCTGCTATGCTTATGTATGTATGTTCCGGCCTCTCGAGTAGCTTCAGTCTCACACTGGTGCAGAATAAAGTACAGATATTGGATACGTCTATCCTGCTGCAATAAAGTATTGGTGGCTTAAATTATTCTTTTAAAGGAAACACTGTTTTGGAGGACTAAGGACTTTTTATTATTTGGAAAATGCTTAACAAGAAAAGGATAAACTGCTAGAAGACACCACTATTTCTGTAATTATTGTGCCTTCATCAGACTATTGATTCTTTGTAATTGCACTGTTTTATTGAAAAGTCTTCCTGCACTTTGATCACAGTGGTTTTATGTCTACTTCAGCTCTTGTCAGGAAAGAAGAGTAAAGTTTAAATGTTACATGTCAATTGCTGACAATGATTCTAACACGAAGGAATGCGGGGCAGAAGTTTAAAGCTGATTACTTCTGAAAGATTTTCTCCAGTGTAATATCAACTTTCTCTCTTTACTCTCTTGATAAATGTGCTTTTACTTACACTGAAACGTAGAATGACCATCTATACAGTTAGTTTTCTTTATTTTTGTGTATGGTTTTAATACACTGACTGGGTTTTGTTTATTTCAGTGAGTGAATATGCACTTTGTAGTTATTTAGTGAAACATAAATGATACAAAGAATCACTTACAATTTATTGTACTTGAAATTCAGAGTACATATAATGAAACAGTAGTTCTGATGTTTCAGTGCTGTCTTCATTTTACTTTTAAAACACTGTCATCTCATGTTACACTGACTCACTAACCATTTCCTCCTGCTGTTTCTCATCTTATATTCAGTTGTCTGAAGTTGTGTTTGCCTCAGGTCGGTGGTTACGAATGCCCTTGACCACAATGCTGCAAATTGGTAAGTGGTTAAAGAAAACAACCTAGTAATTAACGTGTTGAGTCAAGTGATTTTTAAATTTTGTTTCACGGTGTTGAAGGGGAGCAGCTATTTACTCCATTATTTTAACACGCCGGTAGTGCAATTTGACAATTAAATCGTAATTACAATGTCATTTTTTTCATCATCAGCTCAATTAGAAAAGAGCAGTTTAATTTGCCATCATATAGAGATGAGCAGAGCCTCTGATTACACATTCAGAGTCAGTAAACACTTAGTTTGGTATAAAGGCAGTATTTAACCAGGCCCAGATCTGGGTCGTGAACTGTGGGACATCAGTTCCTTTAAAAGCTGAGAGATTTACACAATTCATTAAAGCCAGTGAATCTTCAGCCAGCGTCATATTAAATGGTTACTTACTCTCAAATAGCCCCTTGGGTGTTGAATTGTTGGCTTGCAAATAGATTAAAGTTTACATTGAAAAGAGAAATTGAATTCAGAGGTAATCAATAGCATAATGGGCCAGTGAGAGGAGCCTGCTGCCTGAAATGAAATTACCATATTTTTAATCTTAATTTTCCACTCTGTTTATCTGACAGTGTGGATGTGCAATCCAAACAGATAATGAGAGAGTGGGATATTGACAGTGGGGTCCTCTGGAGTGCTTGTTTCAGTGATTAAACGCTGTGATCTGTGATTACTTTGTGTCGGGTGTCAGGCTGGCGGCCAGGGCCCGGGGAGACACGGGCACATAGCAGCTGGAGCATCATGGGTCTCCGAGGTGCTAATGCACCTGACACAGCATTGAAAGCATCCGTAACCCTATCAGGGACCGCACCACTCGGCAGCTGCCACAATAGGAATACTCATGACACTATCTACATCAGAGTCAGCATATATCCTCTCTGCTCTCCTCTCGATAACAGCCAACGTAAGAATGGTGACAACAAAGTTTGCACAATAAGTATTATTAGCCACATACCTTCCTATGTCACTCAATAATACCACCATTTTAAGACATATCTGAATAGGTGTGCAAATAGCAATGCTGTCAGCATAGTGCTGATATAGCTTTAATAAATAAATGTGTGAGAAAACTGGCTGTTCACACAATGAAGTTTAATCCTAAAGAAATAAAAGACAAAATAAGAGTCAGCACAATGTGGAAGCAGTGAAATGATGAATTCAAGCTGTAGCATCTACACTTTAAGAGGGAAGTGATATGTTGGTGCTGATTTGAGGGTGTGATACATGTTGTGTTCACGCACAGATGTTTTGTTGTCAGTTGAGAGAAGAATAATGTAAGAAGTATGTATAAGAGCTGAAAGTGGTGTAAATTGTTTAAGGATGTTTTATTATGGGCCAGTAACTAAGTAGTCTCAGGGCCACTTTGGGTTGAGGAGACAATGTTTTTCACCAACTTTCTGTCATGCCAGCATTTTCTTTTGTGACCGATACTGCTGTTTGACAAATGGAAACAAATTGCACGGTGCGGGCGTCTGAATGGCAGGGAGTTGGGGAGTGTCAAACCCGCCGCTGAAAGACGATGAAGCGAGAGCCTCAGGTTTTTGTAGGCGACTCAGACCTGACTGATCCCAGCATAAAGTACTTGTTGAAGAGAAGGAGAAAAGGAGAACAGGGGTTCGACAGGCTGCAGTGAAATTAGGAGAATTGACTATGGCGGCTTTGTTCCTGGCTGGTGACATGGGGGTGGGGGGGAGATGAGGAGACTGGAGCGATTCCCCAGAGATTCCATGCTCAACCTTTCTAAAGTGACTACAAACTGAATATCTGACAAGTTCCCAAGGCCTGACATGACTCTGTGTAGCACGAAGAAAAACAAACAACAACAAATGGCACATTTCTAGGATACATGTGGTGACACTTGATATAGTGTGTTGGGAAATGACTTTTTATCTTGTTAAAAATAGGCACTCACTTTGGAATATGTTGGTGCTATATTTTTGAGATGGCTGCAACAACCTAGTTAGACCTAGTTTCTCCAGTGGTAGACTTTGTGAAAGTAGAAAAATTAGAAGTACCATATGTAGATATCCAACTATTTTCTTTGGCCTATCATCATAAACAAACACCATCAAGCTGTTCCTCATCGTGTGCACATATAAGCTTTAATAAGTCACACGGTATCATGGTGTCTCAGCAGTTTAGTGACCAACCCAACCCAGCCTTATGGACTGGGTGACTAATACTGCTACAAACAATAATTATAGTCACACAGGTCATGGATGATTATGCTTCCTAAATTATACAAGCTCTGGTTTGTTTCAGACTCTGTTGGGCGTAACTATATTGAGCGACAACACTCAATGGATAATTTAAATTTAGTTTTTATGCACAACATTCATACAGAAACAAAGATAATCTTGTTATATTAAAGGTTGTTAAGATGAAAACGATGCTCATGTGCATAGAAAACTAAACTCAAAGCAACAGAAAAGAAATGTTCCTAAAGAAGCTTGGATTTTTTGGAATCGTACCTGTCCCTGCTACTT